GGGGTTCCCACAAAAGAGCCTGACGCTGTCGTGGGGGATTCCCCGTCTCATACTCGCGATCTTTTCCATCTCAGTTGCAACATTTCTCATTTGTTTCAAGGATGTTTAGTGATATGGCCAGCGATGCAGGACTTACACTGAAAGATAAACTTCTAAAAGATATGCTGGAATGTCTTGACCGATTCAGAGTTGAACTCCAAACCAGATCGATGTCTCTTCAAGAGGTAGCTTCATTGTTCGAGATCGTTCAAACTAATGCTCAGAAACCGAACTAATTTTGGATATCTCCAAGACTGCGAAGACACATGAAAGCCTCTAATGTTACGGTTATCGTTTGGATGTCTCTATATTTTTTAAAGTTTTTTGTAGAATGGAAGCAATGAAGCTAATAATGTTTGTATTAAAGGTAAAGTTTTTAAGATAATAATTTGTTTTCCAAAAATCTTATTAGCTTTAATTTAACTTTGAAAATCTTTTCTCAGATTTTTTAGGAAAAGAATTTTTATAGAAATGAATATAATGTTTTTAATAGAATAATGTAATTGTTTTTTATTATTTCTAATATTATCCTTTAATATCAAAGAGAAATGACCCCAAACATATTTTAGAATTTTAGCCCCTTGGCACCTTAAATAAAATGCAAGAGCGATTTTTACTCTAAATTTCAGCCACGTTTCACTAAATAAGCCGCTGGCACAATTAAAAGGAAAACTATAGAGGAATGTTCATAACCAACTGGTACAAAACAACAATAATAACTTATTGATGTAATAAAATTGGGGGTTTTAGTGCTTCTGCTTTTTCTATTTCAGTTCAGTCAAGACCTTTGCAAGATGTTAATATGATTTTATTACCACTTTTTATTACTTTAGAAACTCATATTATTAGGTAGTGTACTTATTTAGAGCTATATAAACGCGTGTAAGTATGTATGTTTGTGTGTCCAACAAATGCGTCTACGCGCATCGGCAAACACTTGACAACTATATTTACACATACGCTCGAGCTTTTAACGCTTAAGTTGACATTTGCGCTTTAACGATAGCGCCGACAAAATGCAAGCCATAGACATTTCACTTTCATTGCTTTTTATATATGTATGTATATATAAATACACATACATATATATATTTAATGTTTTTATACACCGACAATGTACTTTTCTTTATTGCACGTTGCTGTTGTTTTTGTTGTTGCGCTCTTACAATTTGATCAGAAAATGTAACGATATACAATGTTAAGGCTGCGGTAAAAGTCATTTTCGCCATCGCTCAAATTAAGTGTGTTTGAAAAAAAGAAAGCCATCGGCCTTATAGCCACCAAGCGTCCGCAAGCGTGCACCGTTCAGCGTTCGACGTTTACTTGACCTGAAGTGAAATTATTGAATTGCGCGTAGTTGTATTGAATTTAAGTTGCTGATTTGCATAGTAAAAGACTGCGTATATAAAATTAGTTTTAGTTATTGTTGTTGTTGTTTTTTTGACAACCGCAGCGTGTGTATGCAAAAGTGTATAGCCACCAAAAGCCAGCAGCAAGGTGTCGACAGTCGCACCTAATGGCGTAGTTAAGCAAATTTTTTCTGCTGCTTCTTCTTCACCCTCTTTTTCATTATTTACGGGAATCACATAATATTTTGCAATCATTTTGCTTTTCAATTTTCTCTCGCATTTAATAATACCTTTCAGGTCGTTGACGATTGAATTTTGTAAGAGTTGAATAAGATTTCTGACATTGTGTGGTTATTGCAAAAGATTTGAAGCTATTCATTTTTTTATTAATAATATACAAAAAGCTCTAAAGTTTGATATAAGAGTTTCGCTGGGTGAACCTGTACAAAGATGAACATTTTAACTTGCTCACTTATAACATATTTTTGTAAATTACCGTTATATGGGAGCTAGGTATACTAGGTACAACGCACTAATGTTGAATATATTGTCATAGCTTAGGGGCACACCAGTGTTTTCCTGAAATGAAAAAGCTAAAGCCTTATGCCATTTAAACTATATACATATACCTGCACCGCAATGGACTCAAGGCTCTTAAGAAATACATGCTAAATTGCTAACTTAGTTTGATTAGGCCATATCACAGAAGTAAAAATAAAGAAATAGATGCCACCACATTATCTTTAAAATAAGTAATAGTAGTATAGATTTGATTCTAATATATTTATTTTTCGTCCGCCTTAATCATTAACTCTGTCTTTGTAAGCCCAATACGAGCTCTACTAACATTGTTCATCATGAACAATGAAGTTTCGTTGTTCTTTTTGTTGAAGTGACAAAAACTATTCATGCCGAAATCGAGTCTACTAATCAATGGGTGAGACCATTTAACCATAAATAAAAATATTTTAAATTAATTTAGTTAGATGTGGCAATAACTTTGTAGAAAGTAGATAGAACCCATTATTATATGCTTATATGAGCAATATGTAGAATGTCTAAATCAAATTTTGAACTACAATATTCTTCCATTGATTGACCAAATCGAACTTAGCTATGCAAATCAAGTCTAATTAAACAGCTGGCCACCAACTAAGTCGGTAGATACTCAATCAAAGACGTATCAATCACATCACGCGTTTTTCCTACAACGCCAAAGAGCTCCTTCAGTCAACACACTCCAGCGCAAAATATGTCCAACAATCTTGCACATGGTAGCTGAGATGCACATATTTCGAGCAAAACAGTACAACTACAAGAAGAAAAAACTAGTTTAACAACGTCACGACGAACATCTTCACTTCAGCTCCACCTGTTACATTTGCTCCACTAGCTTAACAGTTGCCCAGCAGCGCGCACCGATTGCTTCATGTACGCCAACTCCAGCGTTGCTCAGCATTTCATAATTAACATACAAGTATTATATTATTTAAACAGTCGCCAAGGCATGAGTACATGTGGCCATTTGATCTTTTCTCAATTTGAATAAAGTATTGAATTTTAGCAATCATACAAGAAATAAAGGAATTTTAAATAAAAAACTATTAAAAATAAAATGAAATTAAAAAAAAATTAAAAATAATTAACGAAAATATATTTAAAAAAAATTAATTGATTGAAATATTTAAAAAAGCTATTTATTATAAAATCAAACACATCATCAAAGTTACTGAGTACTAGCAAATGTGTGAAACAAGTTTTCTTGCTGCTTTTGCGTCTCACTAATGCACTTAATCTCGTTTGACTTTCTTCTCAAATTCGCGTTCGGCAGCGTTGTTTTACCCTCTTAGCTTGAGCGTGCTTGTCAATTTTCGCAGTTATTGCCTTTTTGTTGTTGTTATTGTTCTTGTCTATGTGATCATCGCTTCCTTTAGTTATTAATATTAGGTATACTGAGGTTATTAATATTAGGTATATTTAAGCATATACATACACAATTCCTATAAATTTATTATTTTTGGCTGCTCTTGCGTGTTTGAATTTAATTTGTTTGCCCGTGTTTATTATTATTTAACCTTTTTTATACTTTTTACGTTTTTTTCTCAACTTTTTTCCTGGTATTTTTTTTAAATCCGCATCTCTCCTAACAAAGCTGGTTTTGTGTTTATTAAATAACTGTTGCCCAATATTAATAAATCTGTAAAATATACAATATGTATGTGTGAGAAGTATGAGAAAAGAGAGAAAAATTAATATTTTACAATAATTCTAATTAGCATAAATTTCATTTTTCTTCTTTTAAGTGCCGATCTTTGTTTGTAAAAACTATGAAATTCGTCATAAGGTATTTTTGAAAATACTGGAATTCAATTAAACCATTTATTTGCATAATGAGCGTTCCGCGTTATTGAATGTAAATTTATTTACTAGTTATATAAGTTGTATAGTCCTATTAAATATAATTTAAAATATACTGTTAAATATAATTAAAAATATACATTTACAGGAATAAATATTAGTATACAATATATAATTTCTATACATGTATATAAAATATTCAATTAAAATTAAATTTTTTTTAGATTTTTTTGTTTAATAACCCCCAGATATGTCTGTAGATTCTAAAATTAAAAATTCAAGGTTTCGCAATTCTTTCCATTCCTCACTTAATTTAGCAAGCACTTTTACTTTATTCCTTTTCTCTTTTGCTAACTCTTTCATTACTTTAACCTTGAAAGTTCACTGAACTTGCTTTCTTAGCTAATTATTTTTAGGAAATTGTATAGGATTTTGAGTGGCTAAAAAACCAGTTGTCGCATTACTAGCCATATTACTTTTGTTATTGCAAGAATTTGGTACGGTTGAGTGGTCTTAATTAACATTAACATTAAAACCTGCTCTCACACTCTTGATAAATGTGAAGATTAGGGGAAAAGCTTGAAAGTTTTTAGAATTGGTCAGCAATACGAGTATATCTGTTACAAGCTAACACAAGCTCTATAAAAGATACCATAGTATCGAAAAAAATAATCTTGAAACGAAAGCTATACGGCCAGCTTTGAGAGACCAGAACCCTTATTCTTCTTCTCGCAACACCACCGTAGGTACTGGTGGAGCAATATAAAGCATTGGGGACACAAAAACTCAAGAAGCTCACAGAGTATACAAGTATAATAGCTTTGGCCGTATGCCCTACTTTGGTAGTGGCATTGCAAAAGATCTCTTAGTTCACAGTACTCCAAACATAGCTTCATTCCAATTATTAATAATATTTATATCTTTAAATTTTTGTAAAATAAACATACTGTTGCTTGTAATTAAAGTGTAGTTTTTAAGTTGGAAATAGTCAAAGCACCTTAGCTGGAGATTCGAAGTGTTTCTAATAAACAATATCTCGAAATTCTATTGCCAGCTAAAACTATTGATTATCTTGTCGACTTTAGTTCGTCTTCTTAAACTAACAAACCAATAAGCGTGGCCTAAAATACATTCTATACATACTAATATTATAAAGATGAATGTAAGTATGTTTGGTATGCTTTCACGCTAAAACCAAAAATATATTAATTACAAAAAAATACAAATTTTACACAACGGATTGAGAAAAATTGTCTTTTGGCTGATTTGATTCTTTGTAAACAAATTTGAAAAATGAAAAATATTATTATTTGGTTTCTGTTGAAAAATTTTAAAATTAATCAAAACAAAAAATACCACGAAAGCATAAAGTTTATCACGGGCCCATGCAGCAATCAATAAAGAAAACGATCAGGCGATCTTCAATCTGCGTAATAAAGGTACTGTACAGCCCTTAAATAGAATACAAGAATGTATTAACATATCAAGCAATGAACCAAATATGTACAAACATATCAAGCAGGAAGATGTGTCAGTCGCAATGAAGCAGCGTAGCGGTTTCTTGGATTTCCATTACATGAAAGAAATCCAACTGCTATACATCTTGCAGTACATTTTGAAAACGGACAGTAGGTTTCTTTTAATGAGAATACATACAAGAAAGGAGTTTATGTCCTTTAAAAACAACATTGACTACATTTTTCAAACTTTTTCGGAATAGGGACTTTATGCCCAGCTTTTATCTTCTTGCGATTTTCCTAATCTTCAAGCACATTGGGACCAGTACAAAGAATACATGGCGGCAGATATTTTACCTAAATTTCAGCAAGTGCATCCAGATATGAATTTCGCTATACATATATAAAAATAAGTAAGGAAGTTCTAAGTTTCGGTGTAACCGAACATTTTATACTCTCGCAACTTGCAAGGATCAAAGCCCGGGAAAATACTTCAGGTGGTGGAAAAATGTTATATTAAAGGAAGTATTGATCCGACTTAACCCATTTTGGCACAAAGACATACTATTATCGAGAGTTTCATTTATTTATTTTATCCTTATGTTAGTAACCGGGTACCCACCGCGGGTACTCATTTTAAGCTCTCAAATCGATGACCGATATTTTCGGTAAAAAGTCAACTATATTCACTGGGATCCACATATTCAGTACCTAGGGGCTTGAACAGTTTTGGTTCGATTTAGACAATTTTTGGTCACAAGGTGGCATACTTTAAACGTATTATTCACGCAAAGTTTTACCCCGATATAATCATTGTTGCTTGATATGAATAGTGGAAAGTGAAAGAATCAGACGGTATTGAAAATGGTGTTATATGGGAAATAGGGGGGGTTGTAGTCCGATTTCGCCCATTTTCGCACTATAACATAGAAATATGAGAAGAATGTTATATACCGAAGTTGGTTGAAATCGTTTAAGCAGATCCCAAGATATGAGTTTTCACCTAAAAGTGGGCGGTGCCACGCCCACTGTCTAATTTTGAACGCGGTTCCTATTAAGTCATCTTATACCATCCCAAAGATAAAATTTAATGTCTCTGGCTTGTTTAGTGCTTGATTTATCGCGCTTTTAGTAGTTTTTAACAGTACCGTTATATGGGGAGTGGGCGGGATTTTCACCCCATTTCACCCATTTTCACACAGTCAATAGAGATGCTAAAAACATTTGTTTCCAGTGAAGTTTATTATTATAGCTTCAGTGGTATAGGAGATATGTACATCAAACTTATTAGGGGGCAGGACCTTTTTTTAACCATTTTAAACTGCAGATGCCCCTCGCTAATGTGATCCTGTATACCAAATAAGAGTATTGTATCTTGTTGTGGAGCTTAGTTATAGGAATTAATTTGTTTTTGATTAATGGCGTTTTGTGGGCGTGGCAGTGGTCCGATTACGCCCATCTGCAATACCAACCGTCTCACGGTACCATGAAACATGTCTACCAAGTTTCATAAAGATATCTCAATTTTTACTCAAGTTAGAGCTTGCACGGACGGACGGACGGACGGACAGACAGTCACCCGGATTTCAACTCGTCTCTTCATCCTGATCATTTATATATATATAACCCTATATCTAACTCGATTAATTTTAGGTGATACAAACAACCGTTAGGTGAACAAAACTATTATACTCTGTAGCAACAGGTTGCGAGAGTATAAAAATGCAGTTTGAAAACGAATATGAGTGCACAACTTCATATCGACATAGATTCCGAACAGAAACGTTATTGAAAATCGGTGATGGTTGTTTAGACTTTGACGACGATAATTATATTTCACTTTCAAGAAAATTTTGTAATTTAGTAGAAAACAATATTGATCTCATTTCTCATGTTTTTCCGGAATCGCAACAAAATTTTAATAGGGATTAGAAGGAGTATTTGTTAGTGGATAGAATCACAGAAATAGAATTATGTACATCATATCATGTAGAGTTTTTTTAATTCACTTGAACTATCAGTTTTACCGTTACATAAATTAAAACTAAATGTACCAATATTGCTTATGGGTAATCTAGATGAGGAGGTTATGCAATGAAACAAGGCTTCGAATTATAAAATAGGAACAAAATATTCTTGAAGCCACTATATTAACAGGTGTCGGTAAAGAAGAAAATGTAATCATTCCTAGGCTACCAATTATTCCCTCTGACCTTCCATATCAACTCAAAAGGGTAGAGTTTCCCGTCAAGCTCAGCTTTGCTGTTACCATAAACAAAGCACAAGGGTATATTTACATTGCAGGTATCCGGCATGCATCTAGAAAAGACATGCTTCTCTCACAATCCACTATATATGGTCTGTTCTTAAGTTTAATGTTCTATGTTATTTATTGAAGGGATTTAAAGCCACGGGTAAAGCTAGTAAGATCATATTACTCTTCAGCAAAGACTTACACCCCGCCCATACCGTTTTAAATAATGAAAATATATTATACTAAAATTGAGCAAAGGGAAAATGAATCCAAACATATGTATATAAATTGCCTGCTTAGTAATAAAAGGAGTAGTTATTATTACTACATATGAGTACTTACAAATAATGAACATTTTTCCAGCCTTTATTTTTTACAGCCTACTGTTATAATTTGAATAGTGTTTCTAAACTTCAGTTTCTATTTAAAAGCGACATAACATATTTGTATGTATATTTTCCTAATGTTGTCAATATATATCAATATTTTCGTCAAACTTCAATGGGTTTTTATGCATCAACTTTGACATTTGCATATTTGCTTTTGAAGAAAAAAATAATAAACCAAATGCTAAGTTGAGTCGCCAAACCAGTCGAAAGACTGAAAATAATTTTACTTTATATTTGGTTTGCTATTGCAACTCAGTCGCCTTTTAAACATCTCAGTGTGTTAGCAAAACGAATAAATGTAGTGCTAGTACTCTCCGGCATAGGTCAATATATATTTTCGCAATATTAATATGTATTTTGAAGTGCGTTTTGTAGCTAAATAAATATACTACAAATCTATGCTACATATTGTTCAAACACAGGTTGTTCGCTAATTTTTGTATTTTTATACTCTCGCAACCTGTTGCTACAGAGTATAATAGTTTTGTTCATTTGGCCTTCGTTCAGTTACGTATTGCTAATAAATTTTGTAACAGATTTATGCAAGACTAAGTATACTACGAATATGCCCTATACATATATTACATAAATTGTTTTCATCCTATAAAGATTTACATACCTGAAAAATCAAATGGGTGTTTGCAACTAAGTTCCGGCTTTTATGAATAATAATTTTTAAGCAACAAAAGCCTATAGTTAAGATATTTTAAAGCGATACTTATTTCTAAAGCTATTAGATGGTACAGGATTTCTGCTAAGTATTCTACATCTAGTGAGGTGTTATTTGCATTATATTTGTGTAAAACCATTTTGGCAAATACTTACCCAAATGAAAATTTGATTATTTCAAAAATCCATGTTGGTGACTATTTTGAAAGCATAATTATTACTTAAACGTGCCTTAAAGCTAAAATATGTGTATTAAGAGGTATGCAACGAAAAGCTGATCGAAATCACGACTTTTCATATGTACATTCTAGGTACATTTATAAATAATTATCATAAGACTACTCAGAACACACCAATTTTGAGCAGCAATTAATTCTTAAAGCCTTAGAGTGGTTTAATTTTACAAGGAAAAACACATACCAAATGCAACGTGCAAAGTCAAAGTAATGCTATCAGATGCACAAGCAAAAATAACTATAACAACAAGATATTGTGTGAGCATGTGTTGGAAAGTCGATGCAACAGCTTTTGTTGTTGACGTTTGGTTTTGCATGCAAAAGCTCCGTTTCCACAAATATTGAATACAATTCCAGCGAGTGCGGATATAGATGCTGTGACGACTTAAACAATGTGCTGTGGCGAAAATGCAACGAAGAGGGGCATGTAAACATGCAAGCTGAGGTACTTGCTAGTCAGCAACAACATAGACGTAGGTAACATTAACAAAAGTAATTGTAAAAAGCATTGAGTGAGCCAAAATACAAGAGTTTAAATTTTATTTTACTATTTAATAATAAATTAGTGATGATTTACTGCAATAATATCATAGTATTGTGGAGAGCCAAAGGACAACCAAAGGGAGCACTGCGATTATTGAGAATAATTCTGCGTCTAGTTTAAGTCAAATCGAGGATGCGTATTATAAGGTATTAAAAATAGTTATGGTAAAAACGTTTTGGGTTGATAGCAATCATTATTCTGAAGTGGTCAAGTGAAATTTTTCTATGAAACTCTTATAAAACTAATAAAATACAATAGTTGGATATTATGCTGTATTTATATCTATACTAATATTACAAATATAAAGACGAAGATTTGATTCTTTTGTCTGTTTGGATGAACAGATTTCAAAACTTCTTGACAGGTTGAAATATTCTTTCACCGTTTGAAGGATATTTTCAAAAGAGTTGAATAATCGCCAACCTAAGGTGTCAAATAATTACCTAAAAACCTGCACTAAAATTCTTTACATAACTTGTGCTGCAAATACCTTTGATTATAGAGCAAAATATTGTAGTACAAATTTGCAGAACATATAATTATCTACAAAATATGTCGGGACAGCAAATGTCTAACTTCTTAATTACTTCACATTCAGAACTGATTTAATGCCTTTATATAATTTTAGAATTATTCGATTCGGACATTTCATTCGAAAGATATCACAGATTCAAAATGTAAATATTAGAAAAGGTGGCGTGGTGTGCGATGACCCGCTCAACTAGCCTGCAATATAATACGCGATGTAGGCGACATTGGGCAACAGGAGAGTCAATGTACGAAATAAAGTTCAGCGCGGCTCCTCCATAGTTAGCTCCTTCAAACGGTACCGCAATAATATAATAGCAACGATTACCCTCCTCCCACTTAACCGGCAGGGGTGCTGAATA